AAAAAAAAAAAAAAGCTTTCATCAGATTCTCAAAAATGTCCAGTGACATCAGCCCCAAAACCATACTGCTTTAGGAAACTGGTTGTTAAGTCTGAAGACAAAGACCACCATGCTAAGCTATGTGCAAGACGCTATCCTGGCATTGATGTAACAACCAAAATTTCCTAAAGGCCCAACAAGAATTATTAATATTATGTCACATTATTAGTGGACTTTGACTTTCCAAGTCCCATTATTTATTACATATCATTTCTTAACAGAAATAACTCTGAAACCAAAGAGTTATCCAAGAAAGTGATTATTTTTTAATCCCTTAAAGCATCAATTCTCAACCTGTGGGTCACAACCCAAAGGAACTGTATTAAAGGGCTGCGGCATTAGGAAGGTTGAGAACCACTGCCTTCAAGTTTACTATCACAAGTCCTCCAAGAACAAAAAACTTTGTCTTAAGTCAGCTAACTAAATCTGAACATACTAAAGTTTCACATAACTTTTTAAAATTTCAGAATTACAAAAGCATTACATCCTTAATGCATTAGATCCTTAAATACAAATAAGGAATAAAATCTCTCAGTTTAAAATGTCCATACTTCTTTAGACGCTTAATTACTTTATTACCTTAAATGTAGTGGCTAGGAGTCATATTTTATTTTTATGGTAGGAATAATAAAATACCTACTATTTATTGAGCACCTAAAGTATTCTGTATACTGTGATAGACACTTAGCCACATCACTAATTCTTACAACCTTATAGATATGGAAAATGAAGCTCAGAAAAAGTTAAGTAGCTTGCCTAAAATCACAGATAGGAAGCAGCAAAATTACCCTTTGAATCAAAACCTATTCCCTTTATGTACTGCACAATCTCTGCATTCCACAAAAATTGAGAAGTACACACGTGCGTCCAAAGAACACAATGAGTTCAAGTGAGTACTGAATAGGAATGAACTACAAAAAAAAGAATACCTAGAGCATAAGAGGGATTCACAAGTATATAATCAGCAGATATTAATAACCTGTGTCTTAGCTCCAACCCTAGTACATCCATGCAGGCCTACTCACAAGCAGCTCCCATTCTCTAACAGTTTTTACAACCTACATTTTATATGTATAAAAGAAATTCCCCAAAGCAGCAGCATAAGAGAAGGAACTATGGGTAGACTAGAAAGGTAAAAATTTAAGTATTTTATAAGAAATTAAGTAGATGTTCTTGAGAATTGGGGAAGGGACTGCAAAAGAGAAAAAGAGATATTTTCTTTTTTAAAAGGAAGCCAGTTAGAAAAAGCAAATGAATGACAACAAAAATTACAGAATAGGAATATTCAGTACTAAGGCATGACATAAATATGCAAAAGAGTATATTTTCCTTTATAATCTTGCATCATTATTCTGTTTTAAAAAGCAGTTGGGCCAGTAGATCACTGATTCCTAAGAACTAATTCACTATAATTAGTGACTAGAGCAAAATTCTTTAGAATGGATTTTTAAACAAAATGTGGTTCCAAATACATTGAAAGAAAAAAATATCTGGAGGAAAGCAGTTAGAAAATGTAAAGACGGCTCGGCGCCTGTAGCTCAACCGGCTAAGGCGCCAGCCACGTACACCTAAGGTGGCGGGTTCGAATCCCCAGCCCGGACCCGCCAAACAACAATGACGGCTGCAACCAAAAAATAGCCAGGCGTTGTGGCGGGCGCCTGTGGTCCCAGCTACTTGGGAGGCGGAGGCAGGAGACTCGCTTGAGCCCAGGAGTTGGAGGTTGCTGTGAGCTGTAATGCCATGGCACTCTACCCAGGGGGACAGCTTGAGGCTCTGTCTCAAAAAAAAAAAAAAAAAAAAAAAGAAAATGTAAAGACACACATTAAAAATGTCAAAAAGTTGCTGTTACTTTTCATTGAGGTTGTTTATCAATATCTCCAACATCTTAATTATGGATTTAAGTTATTAAGATACTTAAAAACTATTCTTTTATTCTCTTCTTCCACCCACATTTCCTTCAGAAATTATAAAAAAAAAATTAAAAAAAAATTAGAACCTTCTTAAATACAGGAAAGTAAAACTGAATATCAGCACTGCTTTCATTGAATAATCTCACAAATGTGGAGAAGAGAGTACAAGTTCTAGCAATAAGACTGAGAGTGCCCACCCCGTCTCCAAGGACCTAAGAGGCCTATTATGGTTTGTCCCTACCTCTTTAATGTGCTTTTTCTTTTGTATTGCCATATTATCATCTATTACTTTCCAGTTTTAACCTGTAAGCATGGAAGGGGGCTCTTCGCCTGTGGCTCAAGTGGCTAAGGCGCCAGCCACATACACCTGAGCTGGCAGGTTCAAATCCAACCCCAGCCCACAAAACAATAATGGCTACAACCAAAAGTAGCTAGGCGACCCAAAAATAGTTGGGTGTTGTGGCAGGTGCCTGTAGTCCCTGCTACTTGGGAGGTGGAAGCAGAACTGCTTCAGCCCAAGAGTTGGAGGTTGCTGTGAGCTGTGATGTCAATGCACTCTACCCAGGGTGACAGCTTGAGGCTCTGTCTCAAAAAAAAAAAAAAAACTGGAAGGGGCTGGGTGCATGGCTTACTCTGTAATCCTAGCACTCTAGGAGGTTGAGGCAGGTGGATGGCTTGGGCTCAGCAGTTCAAGAGCAGCCTGAGCAAAAGTGAGACTCCTGTCTCTATTAAAATAGAAAAAAGTTATCCGGGCATTGTGGCGGGTGCCTGTAGTCCCAGCTACTTGGGAAGCTGAGGGATGAGGACTGCTTGAGGCCAAGAGTTTGAGGTTGCTATAAGCTATGATGAGGCTGTGGCAGTGAACCCCAGGGTGACAGAGTGAGACTCTGTCTCAAAAAATAAACAAATAAATAAAGAAATAAAAACTGGAAGGTAAATCCCAGCACTTTGGGGAGGCTGAGTTGGGAGGATTGCCTGAGGAGTTTGAGACCAGCCTGGGCAACATAGTAAAACCCCTGTCTCTACAAAAAAAGAAAAGAAAGTAAATCTGGAATTTAAGAAACAAAGTGAAAATTTCAATTCTGAGCTTTAAAATTGCTGTAATATATTTCAACCCATAAATATATACTTTATATACAAAATATAGATTTTTATCTACTAGATTAAAAAAAGGCTCCAGGAAATTATTATAAATTCATTCTTCTTCTAAAACACTGAAAAATGAAAGTGAGCTAAGGGAAAGCTAAAATAGAAGTATGAGAGCAGAGCAGGATGGTTTCGTGAGCAGGCAGCAGTTTATTGGTTTCCTCTCAGCAGTGAAGCCTCCTCCTCTTGGGCGGTTTGCACTGTGATTGTGGCTGCATACCTTTGGTGGTATCAGATATGCTATTTAACAAGGCACACATCATATCTCCCTCTAAGTGGTGAGGGTTTAGTATATGAGCTGGCCTCTGAGTCTTCTTAAATTGATTCTCTAGCTCCAGAAAACCTTGATCTCCCGAGAGGATGGTGAAAGGAATCTGCTTGGGTAGTTGTTCATCTAGACGGCCAGCCTAAGTTAAAACAAATAGCATAAATCAGCATGAGTTTCAAATCAAGTTATATCTATTTCACAATGAACACATCCCTGGAAAGGTAGATTAAGCTTGATCCCTAGTCCCTGTCAAAAATCTCCTTCATAAATAAAACGTGCTACATTTAATCCGATATAAGATGCAATCAATTATATGATTAAGCTCTTTTTATGTGCCATGAAGGAAAAAAATAAAGCCAAAACAAAAGTTCAATAGAATACCCCCACATAAAGCCGGAATGCCAAATGGCTCTATGTTCAATGTAAAGGTAAATAAGAAATAAATCTGCCATGGACAAAAGGTAAGCAAGGTAATTTGCATGATTCAATTCTGGCACTGGACAGAGGGAAAAAAGAAATCTCTTAGGGTTTAAACCATAAACAGCAGTCAACAAGTTTACATAATAAATTCACATTATCAGTGTGAAGGCAGGAAATCATAAGCCCGAAGGCAAGAAATGTCATTGAATGTGGATCTCAAGTTGGTAGTTGCCCTAAGTAACTGGAAGAGGCAAAAGCAAATGCAAATTATATCTAGGCTAACAGGGACTGTCAGGATACTTTTCGATTTCAATACATGTTAAAATGGGAAAGTGTCTTAGCATATATCAAATACAGTGTTATCGCTATTTGTAATTAGTAAATGACGCTGTTCGTAATTAGCAAAGCAGTAAATAAATACACTATGGGCTCCTGTCCTCACAGTAGTCACGAGCAGTATCTGGTGTTGAAGGTTTTATATAGAAATATACTACTAAAGAATGATTTATACATTGCCATTAAAATTCAAGTGAAAAAAAATATTCCAAGTGGGGCCTAGACTCACATGAGATTGTGAATAGAACAATGACTCACATGCATACATATGGCAAAATCAGCAGCATCTTTTCTTTTACTACAGCGAGGGTGAAGGAAGAAGCATCCAATCCTGTTCAGGTAATTATAGATCTTACAGTTGAGTGGAGGCTTCCAATTGGTGTTTCCCCCTATTAATTTTAGAAAAGACATTAAATGATACTTAAACAGAAAAAGAAAAAACTGAAAATTATATCAAGAGAGAACATATACCAGAAAAATTTTTTCTAGAGGGAAAGTCCTAGATTAGTATATCGGAGAACTTAGTCCTAGCCTATGCTCTACAATCATAGACCAACTTCCCTGAATCTGTCTACTCCTGTGAAAAGTCAGAGATATCAAGCAGAATCAAAAGTAATGTATGTGAAAATTCTTTGAATGGCATCAATTTATATGAATGCAAGCATTAGTGGTTTTTATAAATGGCATGGCTGTCGGTGGATAGAAATTAGGATAGTCAGCAAAGCAACACTTACGAAAACATTATAGCAGGTAACTTATCCCAGTCAGCATATTTGTACTATATCATTAGTCCCAATCTTCCACTTTACATGTAATTTCCTATCAAACATAAACTATATCAGATGCTCATTATATTAAACCTCTCTAAACCAAAGAAGCCCTCCTCCAAGTTTAGTAAACAGTTTGTAAAGAGATTTAGAAGAAGATGCACACGAATAAACTGAAGAGGCAATTACAGCATGCTGAAAATAATACTTCTATAGCTAAGAGGCCAAAATTCAAAAGCTAACTCTGCTATTTATTCACTTTAAAATTCTGAAAAAAAATCAACTAGTCTTTGTATTTTGAAAGGGAGAAAACGATAAGAATCAGTAATGATCTTAGTACCAAACAATAAGCCTGACGCACTATAGATAAAGGCTTTTTCAGTCTACATCAAAAGATCCACAAACTGGGTCACAAAACAGAGCTAACATCTATCATAGAGAGTTGTAAAGAAAAAACTAACTATACTGTAAAATAACAGCATTCCAATTATGTTCCTATGTTCTGTTCAGGAAGCCTTTTAAATCATATCCTAAAAACTGAAAGAGGGATTTTTGCAAATGTTTTTCTTATTATCTCTACCTTGAAAGCCCCAAATAAATGTTCCTTGGTTTAGATGCCCTGGTAGATGACCAAAAAAATTTGACCAATTATCGAAATCTACAAAGACTATATGAGTCATAGTTCGCAGGTAATCCAAATCCGGAAGTTCAACAGCTTCTTCCTCTAAGAAGAGAGAAACATTAACATGAATTCAGTAAAAATTTACAAAAATCATCTAATTTCTCAGGTCTAAAAGATATTAACATTGCAAGTTGTTTACATCTAAATATCTCTGTGAAATCCAAATCCATACATGATACAATGTACACTTCAATCACATAAAAAATATTCTAAATATTTTATAATTTGATTTCTACAGCCTTTCGCAACAATTGCCATTGACCCTAAGGCTTTTTTCTTTTTTTTCTTTTAGCGAGAGGGTCTTGCTCTGTCACCCAGGTTAGAGTGCAGTGGTTGATTATAATCATAGCACACAGTTAACTACATACCCCTGGGCCTCAAGCAATCCTTCTAACCAAGCCTCCTGAGTAGCTGGGTCTATGGACATGTGCCACCATGCCCAGATAGTATTTTAAAATTTTTTGTAGAGATGGGGTTTCACTATGTTGCCCAGCTCAAACCCCTGGCCTTACGCATTGTTCCTGGTTTGACCTCCCGAAGTGTAGGGGTTACAGGTGTGAACCACCATGACTGGTCCTACAGCATTTCAAAAGTCACTTATGAAAAGAATTAAGAAACTTAATGTACTGGAAGAACTAGAAACCAAGTTTTAAGACAAAATAACCAAGAATTTGCACCATCCATACAAAATTTCAAGGTTACCCATTAAAAACCTTCTTGACACCAGAATTTGGTTCTTTTCCTAATCTGGACTGATTTATTAGTAGTCCTCGGGTTCTATGATTAAACACTCTAGGGAGCATAAAAAAATAACCTATAGCTCTGCTGCTACAAAGGGTAGCTGGAAATAGATGACAGTGGCACACTGGCACCTCTCATCATAAATCTGTCGTTCATCTTCCCCCATTCTCCAAATCTCGTTCACCCCCCCTTTACTTTGTTTTATATTTTTCCACTTTGACAAGACCTTAACGTTTCTAATAGCAGCAATGCAAATATTAATGTTATATTAAGATGAACAGCGTCTACTCTGCCTAATAGTGATTTCCTTAAATATTCCATCCGTCCCATTTCCAAGCCACCTTACATTATTTCTCTAAGTATTCAGTAATTCTAGATTGAGATACTACAGTCATCTTCCATCAAACATAAACCTAACAGAGATTCCCAAAAAGTAATCAGAAAAACAAAAGAAAAACAAAAAAATAAAATAATGTGACAGTGATTTCACTGCTTGGAGTAGACTTGACTAGGTAACACATAATTCAATCCTTTCTCACTGAAAACACACCATAACCAAAGGTGATGTTGAGATCTACATGTTAATAAAGCAAGCCTGTAAAACAACAATGTTTCATTGAAATATTTTACTAGCTAAAATTTTCACGTATTTTCACTGTCTCCCCACTACACTGTACACCTAAGAGCTGATATTTAAAAGGATATAGACTTAAAATTATATCCTAAAAAATTATACTTCCAAACAAAATTAAAACAGAACATTCTTAGACTTCTTTAATTCTATCACATGGAAGAAGGAAAGTCCAGAATAAATACAAAAAAGGAAATTCATACCTCAATTTCCCTCCTTTCCTGCTACCACTTTTAACTATACTTCTAATTGTTATTTTAACTCTATGTTAAAGGTTTGCTTCTAAGAAAATCGTAACAAAAATATTTAATTCTGAAATGACCTTTAATTCTTTATACTAAATAATAAGGCCAAATAGAAATAAAACAAATCATTTGATTTATGTTTCTAGTGAACCCAAATACATGAAAAAAATCTAAATGATAATAACATCCAGGGTAACTTTCAAATCTAACTTTTGGCAAGACTATCCATTTCCTTTATTTTCAAAATCCCCTTATCTTTTATAAAAGAAAAAATTAATATTCTAAATACATATTATTTAAAGCCAAACACATATCTTTTGTCCCCTTAAGTTTAGAAAGTGTATAGATCAAATAAAAAAAATACAAATCCCTAAAAAATATATGCCGTAGTAATTAGCTAACACATCGTGTTTCTTGTTTCAAAATTGAATCATTAACTTTCACCAAAATGGTGGGTACACTGTATCTAAGTTTTTAAATTAGCATGTGAAATCTGCACATAGGTGCAAAACCATACCTATATTCTGACAGCTTATGTCATTCTCAGCTCCTTTCTCCATGTCTGAGTTCTTTGGATAGCTGACTGACTGTTTCAGTCTTCTCTCTGCATGGGAGGCCGTGGCAGTAAACTTGTATGGGCTTGCTTTTTCAGATCCAAAAGGAGCCACGCTGGGCTTCTGTAGGAAGCAGTGTTTTCTATGGAAGTGCTGCTGTGCACTCTCAGGGTCGTGAAACGCTTTGGTGCAGGTGCCACACTTGATCACATACCACTGCTCCTCCTCACCACTCTTTTCTTCTTTGTGCACCTGATGGACGTGGGTGTTCATGTCGGCCACATTCTGCGCTGTCACTGAACACAAACTGCAGCGAAACCACAGTTTACCTTTCTCCAGCATGATTTGGAGACATCTACTATAATCTTCCTTTCGGTTGACTTTACAGATGTAACTCTCACGGCAACCACAAGTTAACTGGTTACTGGTCTCTATTACTGGAAAATCAGCCTCAGTTTTAATTGAAGTTTCAGTTTTTTCTGACACAAACACATAATCTATGCTGTGGTGCTCCTTATAATGACTCAAAAATGCTTCTTCTGTATTAAAGATAAGATCACAAAGCCCACAAAAGTATTTAATCTTTATCTCATTGTCATGCTCATCTTGGCAATGTCGGTGCACTGTTTCTATCTTATGAAAAGTTTTTCTGCAATGGGCACAGCTATATCTATGAAACCTGTGACTGGCCAAAGACTTGCAGTGCTGCTTTACACACTCTTGGGAATCAAACATATCTTCACAGATTCGGCACTGCCATTTGCCCCTTGGCTGACTGTTTGCCGGGGAATGATCAATAATAGTAATAGGTGAAGCAGGCTTATTAGCAGTCAAATTACTCATCAGAGTCATAGACGATGATGGCAAAGTTTCACCTTCTACCTCATCCATCTCATAAAAATATCTGTGTCCATTATGAAATTCAGTCACATGAGCCATGATAGTATCTTTCCTCGTTAACTCCTTTTTGCATGTCCGACACCAGAAATGAAAGTTATTTAAATGTGCCCCTCCATGAATCCGACTCATGTGTAAACGAATGACCCCTGAATCCTCACACACCTTTCCACAGACCACACACTTGTAACACATTGTGTTTGCTGAGAAAACATGCTTTTCTACAGCATCTTCACTTGGGAATCGTTGATTGCATTCACAAAACCAGATTTTAACTACTGGCTTTTCTTTTTGGACAGAAACTACACCTTCATGGCTTTTATCTTCTAAATTCATCTTCTTTTTTGGAATGGCACTGCAATCCAGTGAGCTAGATTCTTTACTACACATAGTTCTTTTAAGGGAAGAAAATTTTGACTGATCTAACAATAAATGCAAATCAGAAGGATGTTTGTTCCCTTCGGTGATGTGGCAATAAAGTAAGACTGATTCTTCCACTGACTTAATCACTCGGATTTTGTGTCCTGAATTCTGCTTGTGATTTTCGGTGCTAGTTTCATCCACAAAGACTTGGTTGCAATTAGGACAATAACCTCTTAATATGAATTTCTCTGCAACCTGGGTAATGCTCTTCTCAGCTACAGCTACAGGACCAGCATTCCGACAACGAACTCTGAATTGGATAAAAACATAGACTCTTTCATAAATATTTTCAAAATATATCATCCCTGCATTTTATTGCAGGAATTATAAAAATAACCAATATATAAATAAGCACTAAGCAATACTTTTCAATAAATAAATATGTAGATGATAAAGGATATCTATTGTTTCAAAATATCTGAATAATATCTACATTTGATCTATTTATAAACAAAATATACACACACAAAAAAACAAAACCAGATTCAAAAGATTTTTTTTAATTCAGGCAAATTTTACAAAATTTACATAATTTTAAAAAATTTTATAAAATCTGTATCAAACACACTGCTTTGAGGACTTTATCAGGCAAGCAAATTATTAGATTATCAATGGTAATTATATGAAGGGACACGCTGTAAGATTTTAGACAACCTGATACCTACTCTTTAAGAATTGATTAATGTTTTTATCAGGAAAATGCTATGCCCACTCTCTTTTGCACTAAAGAACTAGGCTCAATAAAACTGCATGCTATTCCACAAATTAACTCAGAACTCAAGACTAAATCAACTTCCTTAAGGAAAACAAAAAAATGAAACAAATGTGCTTTAACTGTCTTGTCTTAACTACTAAACTCCAAAGAGAAAATATGTGTTACATTGAGCATATATGTGTGTGTGTATATTTTTTTTTTTTTTGAGACAGAGTCTCACTATGTCACCCTTTATAGAGTGCCATAGCGTCACAGCTCACAGCAACCTTAAACTCTTGGGCTTAAGCGATTCTCTTGCTTCAGCCTCCCAAGTAGCTGGGACTATAGGCACCCACCAAAATGCCCGGCTATTTTTGTTGTTGTTGCAGTTGTCGTTGTTTAGGTGGCCCAGGCTGGGCTCCAACCTGCCAGCCTCAGTGTATGTGGCTGGAGGTAACCATAAGAGTGGAAAATTATTTATAATAATAGAATTAAATTAGAAATGAGAATAATAATATGAATCCTTAAATGTTTAGAAATTAAATCCCTAATTATAAAATTTCTGAATCTTTAGAAGTTAATACATTTCTAATAAACCTAAAAATCCAGTTTTTATAGCACATTTTAAAAATGGCTTTATTGAGATATAATTCACATACCACCTAATTCATTCACTTAGGGTGTATAATTTCAGTGGTTTTTCATATATTCATAGATATGTACAACCATAGCTATAGTCAATTTTAGAATACTGCATCACATCAAAAAGAAACCCCATACCCTTCAGCTATCACCTTCCATTTCCCTATGCTCCCTAACCCCAGGCAACCACTGAGCCCTAAACAACTACATCCTGTCTCTATAGAGTTCCCTATTCTGGGAATTTCGTATGAATAAAATCATATAATAAATGGACATCCTATGCTGCCTGATTTCACCTAACATGTTTTCAAGTTCTTTAGGTTTGTATCATGTATCAATATTTCATTCCTTTCCATAGCCAAATAACATTCCATTGTATGGAAATAACACATTTTTGAAATCCATTTGTCAGCTGATGGACATTTGGGTTGTTCCCACTTGTCGACTATTATGAATAATGCTGCTATAAACAAACCTACAAGTTTTTGTGTGGACTTATGTTTTACTTTCTCTTAACTGTATTTCTGGGTCATGTGGTAACTATATGTTGAATTGTTTGAGAAATGAAAAAACAAATTTTTTTTTTTTTTTTTTTGAGACAGTCTCAAGCTGTTGCCCTGGGTATAGTGCACGGCATCACAGCTCACAGCAACCTCCAAGTCTTGGGCTCAAGTGATCCTCTTGCCTCGCCTTTTTTCTATTTTTTAGTAGAGACGGAGTCTTGCTTTTGCTCAGGCTGGTCTCAAACTCATGAGTTCAAGCAATCCACCTGCCTCGGCCTCCCAGAGTGCTAGGATTACAGGTGTAAGCCACTGTACCCGGCCAAAATATTTTTAATATGATGAAAATGAAAATAAAACTTATCAAAATCTGTGGGATGCAGGTAAAGCAGTGCTTAGAGAGAAATTATATTTTTAAAATGTTTATACTGAAAACAAAGATCCAAAGTTAATCTAAGCTTCTACCTTAAGAAGATAGAAAAAGATAAGCAAATTCAAAGTATAAAGAGTAGAAATTAATGAAAAAGAAAATGGGCAGATAAAACAGAACCATCAGTGAAACCAAACACTGTTTAAAAGTCAATAAAAATCTGAGATAGATTATAGAAATAAACATAAAAAACCAAAATGAAATAGCATATTATTGAAGCAAGAACATGAAAGATTTCTCAGGACACAGAAAGCATAATCATGAAAAAAGAAAATAATAAATTACACTTAATGAGATGAAAAGCTCTGGCTCATAAAGACATAATTAACAATATCAATATGCAAGGTCAGAGATTGGGAAAATACACTCATAAATATTGGTATATTCTAGAAATTCCTATATTCTAGATACAAATCTGACAGAAAAATTTTATCTAAAATATATGAGGAATAAGCTCAATTCATTATTATAAAGGCAAACAATCCAATTTTTTAAATAAGCAAAGGCCATGAACAGACATTTCACAAAGATAAAGAAATGGCCCATAAGCTATGAAACAGTGCTCAACATCATTGCTCATCAAGAAAATGCATATAAAATCCACAATGAGACACTCATGAGAATAGCAAAAATGAAAAAGATTGGCGACATCAAAGGTAACCAAAGACCAAGTATACCTAGAACTCCCACATCCTTCTAGTAAGACTGTAAACTGGTACCATGTACAACACCTTGGAAAGTGTTTAATAGTTTCTTAGGAAGTTAAATATATACCTACTTTTGAATTAGCAATTCCACTCTTAGATGTTCATTCAAGAGAAATGAAAACATGTCCACAAAAGGACTTGTATAAATTCTTTGTAACAACTTTATTCACAATTGCTATAAATTGTGAACAATCCCAATGTCCAACAGTATGAGAACTGATAAACAAATTGTACTACATTCATACAAAAGATTACTACTTACCAATAAAAAGAAATAAGGTACTAAATAATATAGATAAATCTCACAGGTATCATGACAAACACAGAATTCCATTTACATGGAAGTTCTAGAGGAGAAAAAGTAATGTAAGGTGTAGAAAATACCATAAGAGAGACTGCCTGTCTTTGTGCATGAGGGGGTGGGAATGAGCAGGAAGGGACAGACATAATAGAGCAAAGAATGTTAGGATGAGAGTGTAGGTTGAATAGATGCATCCATTTGTCAAAATTGTAAAAGTTAAAATCTGTACGCTTCAATGAATTTAAATTCTATCTCAAAAACAAAAGACTTTAAAAAATAAAGAGAGTAGGCTAGGCGCCTGTGGCTCAAGTGGCTATGGTGCCAGCCACATACACCTAAGGTGGCGGGTTCAAATCCAGCCCCGGCCACCAAACAACAAACTGGGCGTTGTGGCGGGCACCTGTGGTCCCAGCTACTTGGGAGGCAGAGGCAGGAGACTCACTTGAGCCCAGGAGTTGGAGGTTGCTGTGAGCTGTGATGCCATGGCACTCTACCCAGGGGGACAGCTTGAGGTTCTGTCTCAAAAAATAAAAAAAAAAAAAATAAAGAGAGTAGAGAATATATTAGAAGTATAAATAAAACAAGAATGGTAGTGTTGATAATTACTAAAGCTGGGTGATGGGTAATGGTGTTCATTATACTATTCTGTTTACTTGTTTACATTGAGCATATATGTGTGTGTGTTTTTTTTTTTTTTCTTGAGACAGAGTCTCACTATGTTGCCCTTGGTAGAGTGCAATGGCATCACAGCTCACAGCAACCTCAAACTCTTGGGCTCAAGCAATTCTCTTGCCTCAGTCTCCCAAGTAGCTGGGACCAGAAGTGCCCACCACAACACCTGGCTATTTTTGTTGTAGTTGTCACTGTTGTTTGGCAGGCTTGGGCTGGGTTCTAACCCGCCAGCTCCAGTGTAGCTCCTAGCCGCGTGAGCTACAGGCGCCGAGCCTATTCTGTTTACTTGTATAGCTGAAATTTTTCATAATAAACAATAAAAATAAAAGGCAGACCAGAATTTGAATTCATGAAATGTAAGTCAGCACCAGGACTATTAACCATTATTTTATACTGCCTCAGTTTTATTGAGAATACATTTTACTTGAAGATTTGTGAAAATAATTATTTCACAAATGAAATTCTGTCACTTCTAGAAAAAAACAATTTTTTTTTTTTTTAAGAGACAGAGTTTCTTTTACCTTGTCACCCTCAGTAGAGTGCCATGGCATCACAGCTCATAGCAACCTCCAGCTCTTGCCTCAGCCTCCCAAGTAGCTGGGACTACAGGCACCCACCACAACGCCCAGCTACTTTTTGTTGCAGTTTGGCCAGGGCTGGGTTCAAACCTGCCACCCTTGATATACGGAGCTGGCGCCCTACTCACTGAGCGACAGACAGGTGCTGCCCGAAAAAACATTTTTAATGTATTTTAAAGAAAAAAAAAAGATCCCTAAGAAACACAGCATCTAAATGCAAACTACAGATTTGTTTGGATCATGATTTCAACAAAACAACGTTTAAAAACTTCATGAGATATTCAGAAATATGATAATTGAGTATTTGACTGAGTATTTGATACTAAGAAACTATTCATTTTTTAAGGTGTGATAATGGTAGGACAGTTACATTTTCTTTTAAAAAGAAGACTGCTGGCTTAGTGCCTATAGCATAGTAGTTACAGCGCCAGCCACGTACACCAAGGCTGGCAGGTTTGGACCAGCTAAAACAGCAATGACAACCACAACAAAAAATAGCCGGACTTTGTGGTGGGTGCCTGTAACTCCAGCTACTTGAGAGGCTGAGGAAACAGAATCACTTGAGCCCAAGAGTTTGAGGTTGCTATTGAGCTGTGACGCCACAGCATTCTAGCTAGGGTGACAAAGTGAGACTCTGTCTCAAAAAAAAAAAAAGAAGAGTCATTATTTATAGTATATGCTATGGAAATGACAGATGAAATAAAATGATGCCTAGGATTTATTTCAAAAATCACTTGTGAGAACAAGACCATAAATGAAACATGACTGCCATGTATTGATAACTACTGATGCTGGTTGGAAAGTACCGGGGGCTCATTTATACACTATTCTCCCTGCTTTCCTGTACTGCTTACAATAAAAGGACAAAGACAAAATCATACTGGAATTCTTCTTGATTACTTAACAAATCTGAACTTTCATGGAGATTTCATCTTTCACATGTATATGATATTTTTCATTCTGGCTGATTTAAAGCACTCACAATCACAAAACACACACACAAACACACGCAGTGTAGAACTGTTAGCTGGTTTTACATGACAGCAATATCAACATATCCACTTTTTCCACATCTGTAATTTTTCTCACTATGCTAAATTTGGTTAATTTCCAGGGAAATGTATATTCTCTTTTTCAAAGGTGAGAGCCATGGAATAGAAAAATATTTGCTGAATCCTCTCACTAGTAAATGGCTCAGTAGGATGGCTTCACAAAACAAGACCAGACATGTACAAACCTGAAATGGGCAGTGAGCTCCATGTGTGAACGCAGTGTCTGGTGGCAGGCAACACACTTAACTTGAAACGGAACATCCTTGCACAGAGAGATCAAAAGTTTCTTTGCAAAAGATGGAAATGATATTGGATGTGCTTTTCCCTCGTCATCTGAAAGACACAACAAACTATAATTTGCAAAGCTATCTGAGTACAGAGTGACCCAACCTTCCTCTCCTTTGCCTTTCTCAACATCAGTTGGAATAAGTAAAAGAAGAGAATCATTAATTTACTAAAAATCTAAGGGAAGCCATTTTTGGCCTTAAATACAAAGGATGCCTTATCATCAAATTAAAATTTGCTTCCTACATACAGAGAAAACACCCAACTTCCTAGATATCACGTATATAACAAAAACATTATTTGGAATAAATGTTTTCTTCAAAGCTTCACTTTACTCCTCCAACTTTAAACTTTATTCATAGGTACAAATAAATATTGACAATCTTTTAAAAAATAAGAATTGAGATAACAGTCTTTCACTTTTTTTTTTAAGAGACAGAGTCTCACTTTGTCACGCTCGGTAGAGTACTGTGACATCACAGCTCACGGGCTTAGGCGATTCTCTTGCCTCAGCCTCCTGAGTAGCTGGGACCACAGGTGCCTGCCACTACACCTGGCTATTTTTTGTTGCAATTTGGCCGGGGCTGCATTTAAACCCACCACCCTCGATATATGGGGCCAGCGCCCTACTCACTGAGCCACAGGGGCTGCCCAAACTACTATGAGGAAAAGTAACCAAGCAAATGGTCTGAGAAGTACCAATGGTAAATCAGCAAAGATTAAAGTAGTTTAATAATTTTCAGAAGAAGATAAGAGTATTAACATACCACCCAATTTAAAACTCTGATGGAAATGATTCTTTCCAGACATATGCTTCAAACACTCATCCTTGCTGCTAAAAAGAAGGAAGCAATTTGGACACGCAAAACACTGAATAATCTGAGGAAGAAGGTCATTGTTATGTCCATCATCTGTGGTTTCCTAAAATATAAGGCAAAGCTGTATTACAGATAACTAAAATTAGTACTCAACTTTCTAAAATCAACTCTCAAAATTTCCTGTTATTTATAATATATCAATCTGTAACATAAAAACTTTTCTTACCTAATATGAATTACAGAACTTTTATCATAAACAAAGTCCCATATGCAAAATTTTTTCCTCAAAACCAAATTATGGCTATCTTTCTGTAATAATAAATATACATTTCTATATATTTTTCATTTTTTACATACAGATTCATGTGTCATATTATACAAGTACATAAATGTAATCACACCACATATACGTTTTCTAATGTTTTGCTTTGTTACTATACTCTGCAACCAGGGTTATGCTTAATCACAAAAATACATGGAAAAGAATGCATAAGAAGAATGCTATTATTGGGTCGATGCTCATAGCACAGTGGTTACAGCACCAGCCACATGCACCAAACATGGCAGGTTCCAGCCGGGCCCAGGCCAGCTAAACAACAATGACAACTGCAACAAGAAAATAGCCAGGCATGTGGCAGGTGCCTGTAGTCCCAGCTACTTGGGAGGCTGAGGCAAGAGAATTGCTTAAGCCCAGGAGTTTGAGGTTGCTGTGAGCTGTGATGCCACAGCACTCTACTGAGGGCAACATAGTGAGACTATCTAAAAAAAAAAAAAGCCATTGTTTTATCAAGTATGATTTTATAGACTATTAGTTTGAAATAGTGAAAATCTCTAAAAATCTCTAAAATCTCTAATATAAAAATAGTGAAAATGTCTAAAAATCAAGTAGTATATCTCTAATTCTAAATCCCTAAAAAATCAACTGGTATAATGGTTGCAACTATGCCTTGTCTGAATCTATTTGATTTAGTCAGTCATTCGTTTCTAGGTGTATTTTTAGTTTAAGGTGTGTTATGTCTTACTAAAAACAATGATGTAAACATTCTTGAATATATATCCTTACTTATAAGGGCTTATTCCCCTCTTTATCAACCCTATCACAGGGTTAAAGGTACACATATGTGAAAATTTAAAGATACTGAATGTATGACTGCTTTTCAAAAAGGCTCTACCAATTCACATGTCCTGTAGCACTGAATGAGCCTGGCAAGAATAGATTTTTCTGAATTTTTTCCATTTCTGCCAGTCTGACAGATGTGATAGTCATTGTTGCTTTAAGGTCATTTCCTGTCTGTGAGTTTGAGCACTTATTCACACATTTGTTGACAATTCAGATGTGCTCTTCTGTGAATTTCTTATTCATATCTTTTAGCTTTTTCAATTGTTTTGCTTTCTCCCTTTCTGTTCATTTTGTATCAGTCCTTTGGTATCAAAATTAATTATCCGTCTCATCCCCCATTTTGCAAATATTTTTCCAAACACCTATTAATTTAGTTTATGGTCACTTTTAAAATTTTGATATACTCCAATAGGCATGCCTTTTCAAGCAGCTAGATTTTCAAATCTGGTTGAGAGCCACTTCTAGACTATGGAAATTTTTTTTTTAAAGTATGAAAGACTGTCTTTCAGGGAACATTTCTATAGTTCATTACTCGGAAAGTTTCTCTGAATATGTAGAGCACCCATATACTGAAAGAATTCCCATTCAACAAACGGTGCTGGGAGAATTGGACAACTACATGTAAAAAACTGAAACTGGACCCACAACTTTCACCACTTAACAAAAATTGACTTAAGATAGATAAAAGATTTAAATCTAAAGAATGAAACAATAAAAACTCTGGAAGAAAGTGTGGGAAAAACTCTTAAGGATGTTGGCCTAGGGAAAGATTTTATGAAGAAGAGTTCCATGGTTACTGCAGGAACAAGAAAAATAAACAAATAGGACTTAATTAAACTGAAAAGCTCTGCACAGCTAAGGACACAACAATCAAAGCAAACAGACAATCTTCAAAATGGAAGAAGGTTATTTGCGTGTTATGAATATGATAACTAGGATATATGGAGAGCTCAAATTAATCAACAAATACAAAAGCAAACAATCCCATCTACTACTAGGCAAGACACATGAACAGAACCTTTTCTGAGGAAGACAGACAAATGGCTAGCAAACATATGAAAAAATGCTCATCCCTAATTATCAGACAAATGCAAATCAAAACCACCCTGAGATATCAATTAACCCTAGTAAGATTACCCCACATCATAAATCCCTAAATTGCAAATGCTGGTGTTGATGTGGAAAGAGGGAACACTTTATTCTTCTTAGCAAAGTATCACAAGAATGGAAGAAAAGTATCCAATGTGCTCAAGCCCTACTATTAAAAGTAATTTATAGCTTTCATATGAAAGCTATAGCCCAATTATAGCCCAAGAATATGGGGAAGGGAGAGAGGGAGGGGAGGGAGGAGGATGGTGGAGGGACGGTGATTGGTGGGACTACACCTATGGTCCATCTTACAAGGGTACATGTGAATCTTTCTAAATGTAGAATATAAATGTCTTAACACAGTAACTAAGAAAATGACATGAAGGCTATGTTAACTAGTTTGGTGA